CAGGTAGGGTAGCCAATCGTGGTTGTGCTTATTACATTCCTGCAAAAGCCACAGATATAACGAAAAAATGCTTTTAAAATAAATTACCCAGCTTTAAGTCTCGACGAAAGACACGACACTGCTACAATAATACCCGTGTGCTGAATGCTGAAGCCATTACTGAATTCCCCACCAAAGCATCACTGACATCCAGTTAAGACCCCTAATTATGACTGAATGCTCATATGCCATGCAGTCACTAATTAGCCATTGACCAACAAACAGTATTTCATTTCTTTATAGAAAAGCCCACACACACAGACACGTGTGCATGATTTTACCCCCAACCCACATCCGCCCACTCTCACACATACACATATTCAAACTCATTGCAATGGTAACCTGCTGTAAACCACCAAAGATGAAAATGTAAAACTCTATAGTCTCTGTGGAAGTATAGCACTTCAGCTGACCTCCTGTTGAGAAAACCATTACTGCATCATTATTCATAAGAAATATGTTATAACAATGTATTTTAAAATCTGTGGGTGGCAACAGTCTTTCTACCAGTCTTGTGGTTTCCCAGAGGGGCTAACCATCTAACCATCCACTTCCTCTCTCTGCCTATGGAGAGAGGTGAATTCACCTCCAGGATGACACTTACAGGTGTTTAATGTGTTTATGTGTGCGTGCTTAATAAAAACTTTAGCTCTGAAGCACACTGTATTCCTAGCTGTTTTATAACAAATGGATAGAGCCAATTTTGTAAAAATCAAACAGACAAGATATAATGTGTTAAATTGTGACCGTGAGAGGTGCTGAAAGATGAATTTTATTACAAATGGATAGAGCCAAATTAGCTGTTTCTCTGATTCTCTGTTTCATCTTTATGCTAAGCTAAGATGCTAAACGGACTGTTGGCTGTATTTGTAAACTTACTGGACAGAGATCAGTTTCCTTCTCTAACGCAAGAAAACAAATAGCGTATTTCCCAAAATGTGGAACAATTCCTTTAATAAACAGCTCTATTTGCTCCTTGTTGAACTAACAGGATTTCTTTTGTTGTTTTCTGGTCAAAGGAAAATAGCAGCATATGTTTCACCCAGGCATGAAGGTGTAAATCGAGGTTCCCCACACTCATCCTGATTGTCCGTGGCCCTCAGGCTCCTTCTGTCACCCCCAGAGCATTGCAGGGAAATGTTTTCACTCAGTTTGTTGTTTGCTCTCCTTCTTATTTTCCACTACCTCATTAATTGGGTCTCAGCTATGAAAGCATTTGGACGTAGAGACGCCTGCCAGAGCAGAAGCCTCCTTCAGAGTCAGTGTTTATCACGAGAGAATTTAAGATCTGTATCTGTTTTAGAAAATGACATGATAAGTGGATTTTTAGGATCTCTTTGTCTACAATCCGCTTCACTTTCTGTGCAGTCTTTTGTTAGGGCACTACAGGGATGTAGCTGCTGCACTTCAGCAGGAGAACCCATAATCTCTGGGGCAGGAAGTGTCTTGGCCACATCCTTGTTGTCAGGGTTGGTATTTAATCTTCTGATCCAGACAGCCTAGAACATATCAGGAGTGTAATCATCGCTGTAGCACTTCAGGGAAGAAAAGCACTACATCCTTTAAGCAGCAGGGAGTTCCAGACTAATGTGGCTAGTCTGCAAGGCCTTCCAGTACTGGGCTAAATAGAAAACATCTTTGTGGCCTGAGTTACTCTCTTTGCACAGATGTAACAACAGTAGACTGAAAGGCATTTTCCCCGTAAGTAAAACGAGTGAGCTGTATTTGTAAAACATATATAACATAACAATAGATTGGCATGCATGAGAAAATTGACAAGGAATTCATCATTCCTGATCTGTTTACATTTTCTCCTGACACCAAGTACAGGAACAGATTTATGTTAGAAAATGGATATTGATTCTATGATAATGAGACAGATTGAGATGAGCGAGATAGGAAGAGGAGGAGAGTGGGGGAGGGGGGAGCATAATTAATTAACAATTCATGAGTAGGGAAAGACAACTTATGGTCAATTAGTGAAGTGACACTTACATGAAGGACAAATCCAAGAGTATGGATGAGAGAGGAGAAGACAAAGAGGGAGACGAGCGCTCGCTTTCTCATCAGTACACACTGACATCTCTGTGCACGCATGTGTGTATATATATATGTGCACAAACACACTCACACACACACAAGTGTGCAATCCGTCATATAGAGACAGACGTATTGATTAGACACAGATAAACAGGGGACAGACAGGCAGCGATAGGCCATTTGCACCTCTTGTAGTTGGATAACAATCAATTAATGGTCTTTTATTATGGGGACCTTTTAATGGGGGTGGATTGAAATGGCTTAAGTTCAAGTAAAGGGGGAAACTCGAAACTTACTCAGGAACAATTCCTGAGAGGTATTTTTTCGTCCTTCACAATCATAGCTATGGACTCCAGAACTACAGAAGTTCGTAGTTGCTGCACACTTTGCACATCTCAAAATATAAACCCTTTTGTTTCTATCTAAGTAGCTTTAAGTAGCATTTGTCATTTTGTTCCACAGTCTGACAGTATTATATTTATATTGTGTATGACTTTGTTCCAGCTCATCAATGAAGCTATTTGATGCTTACCCTGATTGAAATATTCAAGACTGCGACTTCACCTCATTCCAGATGTCTTGTGCATGAATGTATACATGACAAAATAAATGTATACCCCTCAAAATATCAACTTCAGCAGGAATAAATTTACTTTTGTTAGATGAGAGGATTGATTCGGGTCTGTACGCTAAGTATGAAGCTACAGTCGGCTACAGTCGTTAGCTTAGCTTAGTAACTGCACAGGGCCAAGAAACAGTCCAATTTGTAATGACTGCTGTTAAGGCGTTACTGTGCTGCCTTTGACCACAGAGCAAGCGTGAAGTCAGTGAACCTGTACTTTGACAACTGACTGTTGCTTCCAGCTACGGTCGACCGCTGCCTGATGTAGCCTACTTTAAAACTATTAGAGGGTCAGAGTCATCTTTTTGATCACACACTGAGGCTTTGCTAGCTCTAGTTCGCTCTGCTGGAATATAAAGAACTAAATAATGTTGGAACACTGCACTCAAGACTCAATTGAAGTCCATCTTTCTGCATGATTTTTTAAGTGATTGGTTCAAATTGATTAACTTTTTTTTCTTTTGCTGTTGGTTTTCCATCAAAACAAACAATGGTTTTACTTCATGGTTTTCTTTTTAATTTTCATTGAATCAGTGTTTGACCACAACCTCACTATACTAACTGGCAAAAATCAACATTTCTCCATGGCCTCTTGTCATTGACATTTGGACTCTATTCAGATTTCCAGTCTGAAAGAAATAAAGCACACATGCTCCATTACTTGTTTATTTCAAAGGAAGCCACATGAAAGCTCTCTGTTTACAGTAACACAGTATAAGATGTGTTGAGTAAATGAACTACATTTTATTTAAACTTTGCTCATCATCCGTGTCATGCAAAACAATTTGTTTCCAAAATCCTAATCCACCAAAGTTTTGCCTCGCGCAAGTCTGTCATTGTCAAATGTGGACACACGAACAACCAGCAGGATCTGTCGAATTCCATGTTACCCACAATGCCTGTTTGCCAGATAGTGCTGAAGTACTGAAAAACTGGAATACAATGCTAAATGTGTATCTCTGCACCATAGTAGTATATAATTCAGCACATGCCTTTTTACTGGTGTCTTCCACACAGCATCTCTCCTCATTGTAGCCATATGTTAAACACACTAGCTGGGCTCAGCAGCTTTCCATCCTGGTTTCACTTCCTGCCGAATTTGGTCTGTTTGGATCCTGGTAGGAACGCTTAGGGGAGGTGAGGGTGGTGAGGTGGGGGCACTTTGCTCTTGCAGGAAGGAGAGGGGGGGGGTGGGGGGTGGAAATCTGTAGGAAATTGCTGTTAAGTGTTTCTTGAGGTTTTGTGGTTTTGACTCATCATGTCCAAAGTGAGTGGATGGTCCTTTTGTGATGGGCTGTCTGGGACCCTGGTACGTAAACACACTACAGCGTATGAAGCTTTGATCACACAGATTTGTAGTGCTTTAATGTTTAGTATATGTATGTGTATGTTTACCTATCTCTTAATGTTCTTCTCATTGAAGTCAGTAAATTAGAATTTGTACAAGACGTGATTAAATTGTCGGGCTCCACAGATCGGGCTCAGGCTCTTTGCTTTGAATTTTTAGAAGTTGTACAGGTTGGAGATTGGAGCTAAAATTGAACTTTGACAAACCATACCCTAATGGAGCAATTCCATAAAATTTAAACGGTAGCTGAATGCAACTAGCACTTATTTTAAAGCTGCATTCATCAATATTTTTATACTAACAATTGATCAAACACTGTTCAATGTGAAAGGGATTGCACCCAACTCTGCAGCTCCCTTCAGCTCAGAGTCTTTTAGAGTCTTTTAGCTCATTGTTTTTGTTTTACGGCCCACAACTTTACTGTTTTGGTTCACTCTCGCCACTCTCGTTAGCGATGTTTCCAGGCAGCTTTTTTCAGTAAAAAGTCTCTGATAAACCAACTGTACACTACCAGCGCTCAGCACCAAACAGCAGACAGTCAAAGTTAATGACTAGCTGGTGAACATAGTGGAGCATTTAGCTCAGCTAAGGAGCCAGATGTTTCCCTCAGGAGTAAGTGGAAACATAAAACAGCTAAAAGGAGACTGAATATTGGACTTACATTCATCAGGTGGACACAAACGTGACTCCAAATGAATGCTAACTTTCGCTAATGCGTTAGCCATATCAACTCTATATGGTTGTAGTAATACTGTATATTAGTGTTAGTCTCGCTTGTTCAGCTGCTTCAAGTGACCAATAAAATGTAAATGCTTTAAAAAACATAACACATGTGGAAGCACAACTAATCAAGCTTTCAAGCTTTAGTTAGGTATCTAAGAGTGAGAAACTCTAAGACTAAGAAAAATGAATCAGAATTCTGTTACTGACCAGTTTCTTCATTTCATTTAGGAACCTGATGCCTCGGACACTGGACGGCCAGATCACTATGGAGAAAACCCCCAGCTACTTTGTCACAAAGGAGGCTCCTAGCCGTGTCTGCACTATGAACTGCCAAACCAAGCTCATTGTGGTGGTCAGGGATCCTGTGACACGGGCTGTATCTGACTACACCCAGACACTATCCAAGAACCCAAGCCTTCCATCTTTCCAAAGCCTGGCTTTGAAAAACTCCACCACAGGTCTGATTGACACCACGTGGAGCGCTGTGCGCATCGGCCTCTACGCCAAACATCTGGAGAACTGGCTTCAGCACTTCCCCTTGTCTCATTTTCTGTTTGTTAGCGGTGAGCGGCTGGTGTCTGATCCGGCTGGGGAGATGGGCCGGGTTCAGGACTTCCTGGGTCTGAAAAGGGTTGTTTCAGACAAACACTTCTACTTCAACCAGACCAAAGGTTTTCCCTGCTTGAAGAAGCCAGAGGGAAGTAGCAGACCTCGCTGCCTTGGAAAGTCTAAGGGCAGACCCCATCCCCAGATCCCTTCCGAGGTCTTGCAGAGACTTAGAGACTTCTACAGGCCCTTCAACCACCTTTTCTACCAGATGAGTGGACAAGACTTAGGCTGGGACTAACAGGAGAGTCCTGTCAAAGCCCAGATAAAAGCCACCCTTACTTTCTGGAGGGACTGACACAGGACTAACGTTCTCAGGGACGGGGTAGAGGATTACACAGTCCACAAACTGAATTCTGCCTCAGTGGTATCAACATGACATGCAGCACATGAACTGTTTTGTTGGAGAGTGGAAGCTGACATGGAGACAGTGCTGCCAATATACCCTCATAGTTAATGGCTTAGTTATTAAACCATTAATGTCATGAAGTTAGAAGCAAACTATGTACCAAAGGGTAACATCATTTTTCACTTGCTTTACGTTTTGTTTATAAAATAAGCTGATATTTATAGTTTCTGTTGATTTGAATTTCAACAGTTTCTTTTATGAAAAAGTATTTATTACACAACAAGGCAAAAAATAAAACTGACTACACTTTTATTGACAGGACATTGGAAAAAATGTCATACGCCATGATAAACCACTATTTCCTTTTAATTATTAGCAGTGTTACTTTGACTGCATTTATATTTTAATTACATGTACTATTTCCAAATGCTATATATCTTAATTTGATGTTGCAGGATATTTCTCAGTACATTGCAGTTGATATACCAATGATACCTCATCTGTAAATATTAAACAACCATCAGAAACTACACATACACACATTCCATCTGTAGATATTTAGCTACATCACTATTTTAATAGCCTTGGACAGTTCCAACTGTATCCGCTGTTACTCACTTAAAATAAATTACTGTTTTGATCTGTGATTATTTTGAATCATTTACACGGTATGTGTACACAAAGCACAGAGTGGTGTGTATAAAATCTAATTCTGACTCAGATTCTTTGTGTTATGAAGTAAAGTTTTATCTCACATGACATCCAGATTATGAAGTGTCATCCTTTTTCATTTCATGTGCTAAAGTAAAGCTATTGCAAACTGAGGATATTTTAATAACAAATTATATACATTTACTGGCCACTTTATTAGGTACATCTAGCTAGTACCGGGTTGGACCCCCTTTTGCCTTCTGAACTGCCTTAATTCTTCGTGGTCTATTCTTTAGTCTATATTGACATGACAGCATCACACAGTTGCTGCAGATTTGTCAGCTTCACATCCATGATGCGAATCTCCGGTTCCACCACATGCCAAAGGTGCTCTGTTGGATTGAGATCTGGTGACTATGGAGGCGATTAGAGTACAGTGAACTCATTGTCATGTTCAAGAAACTAGTTTGAGATGATTTGAGCTTTGTGACATGATGCATTATCATGCTGGAAGTAGCCATCAGAAGATGGGCACACTGTGGTCATAAAGGGATGGAAATGGTCAGCAACAATACTCAGGCAGGCTGTCACGTTTAAACAATGCTCAAAATGTGCCAAGAAAATATCCCTCACATCATTACACCACCACCAGCAGCAATGAACTGTAGATACAAGGCAGGATGGATCCATGCTTTCATTTTGTTTACACCAAATTCTGACCCTACCATCTGAATGTGGCAGCTGAAAGCGAGACTCATCAGACCAGGCAACATTTTTTCATTCTTCTATTGTCCAATTTTGGTGAGCCTGTGCGAATTGTATGCTCAATTTCCTGTTCTTAGCTGACAGGAGCGACACCTGGTGCGGTCTTCTGCTGCTGTAGCCCCTCTGCTTCAAGGTTCGACGTGTTGTGCGTTCAGAGATGGTATTCTGCATATCTTGGTTGTAGAGTCGATATTTAAGTTACTTTCATCTCTGCCCATTCTCCTCTGACCTCTGACATCAGCAAGGCATTTTCATCCACACAACTGCTTGAAGATATTTTCTCTTTTTCGGACCATTCTCTGTAAACCCTAGAGATGGTTGTGTGTGAAAATCCCAGTAGATCAGCAGTTTCTGAAATACTCAGACCAGCCTGTCTGGCCCCAACAACCATACAACGTTCTATCTGGCATCACAGCTATCTAGCTACCTACAAAACTTACTTCCAAGGCCAAGGAGCACATCATAATAACTAGGTAACATTAGTTTGTGGGGTTATGGGTTACCATAAAAAAAAGAAAAATAAGGTGTTTCTTTACTGATACAAACATTTCTCCAAAGGGCTATAGACTCCACAAGGTACCATTACGTTTCTCAAACACCATAGTCCATCCATCCATCCATCCATTATCTATAACCGCTTATCCATGCAGGGTCACGGGGCGGGGGGGCTGGCGCCAATCCCAGCTGACAATCCCAGCTGGCGAAAGGCTGGTTACACCCTGGACATGTCACCAGTTCATCACAGGGCTGACACCTCAGTTATTCCTTATCCTGAGTTTTTTCTCTTTTAATGTTAAAAATTCACATACTAAAAACAGGTAAGATAAAGAGCCAAAGAGGGTCTTTATACATGTAATACTAGGACAGCTAATTCAGCTCTACATTGTAACTGCACTATTCTGTTTCCTTGTCTCATGTTTTCTCCGTGGACAATCGATTGGTGAGGATGCTAAATCCTGCTAACGTTATCTTAATTTGCTAGCAACAGCTCCAGCTAATAAAGTGTCATTTCAGCCGACAAAATTGTCTCTCTCTGTCTACCCTTGTCTAGCTATTCCTCACTTCATTCAGGCGCTCAAACTTTAGCTCCCTCACAAGCACTAACTTTATTAAAACTCTCACTCTGTCTCTTCCCTCTCCTCCTAGGTCTCTCTCACACTGCTTTTCCCTCTTACCACTTCCACACAGAGACCACATGTACAGTCTGAGGCCTGCGTGTGCTGTGGCCTTTAATTACGAAAGATGTCAGCTCACTCAGAAAGCCCCCTCTTTCCTCTCTGGGTTCAGAATTAGCAGCAGAGCTCTTCTCTTTCATGGTACACTATCCTTTATGGAAGGAAAAAAAAATCTGCTCTGGTGGAACCAAAACAGGAACTCAATCAAAATCTGAAATATACACTGCAGATGTTTTTTTTAACAACATGGAAATGACCAGTACGCTGTATGCATTCAATGATTAAACCAAAAATATTCAATCAAATCGATTAACATTGAGCTTTGTTTGTGGAAACATCAGTGGTTTGCTTGCATTAGCATGCTAGTATCCATGCAAGTTTGCATGCACACACACCATTAACAAACCCTTTGGCTCTCCCCATACATCTTGCCTTCTCTAATTCCTGTCAGTATTTCTGTCACATTCCCCCTCTGTTTTATATGTCTGGCATTAGTTTTTGTGGACCTCACTAAAATTTAAATGTGGTTGGCTCACTTCATCTGTGCCAACTTTTATTACTCTGTATTACCAGTCATAGTGATAGCCACTTTTTCGCTGTGCCAGGCCAGCAGCAGGCATTAAAGATAGCTGATTTCCCATTCTGCCATCTGGGAAAAATGTTAGTATCGGTATTCACAGGACCAGCCCAGCCGTAAAGTTTTATTAAATGAGCAGGACATTCAGCATAATCTACAGTTGTCACTAAACATGGCTATGATATGACAAATCCAACTGAGGTGAAGAAAAAAAGAGCAGGAAAAGTAATTTGTATGTTGGTGTTCATGAAAATGATCTACTGCACATTTAATAAACCATTACCTCATCCAATTCTGTGATCTAAGCAAACAAGCCTTACAACATCGCCTCTGGTCTGTATGGGCACATATTGCTCTGTAAGAGCTCAGCCTTTTGGCTGCCATAAGAATCTGTAGACACCACCAGCATTAGGTCATGTTTTGTGACCCTGTCATCAATATTTCAGGTGTGAAGCAATTAACAATTTAATTTGATTCAAAAGAGTATAGTGGCGTCGTAGTTCCCGACATTTTCAGTGCAGCTGTCTGAATGTCTTTTACATATCCATTACAAATTCATTTAAAGATTCAACTTTCTACTAGTATAATAATTGAAAATTCAGAATAAAGCGGTAATTCTAGCATTCAGCAGCTAATATACAGGAATAAATATCAAAAAGACTGTTTTTATAGTATCAGAGAAACGAGAAATGCTGTATCTTAGCTTATTACTAACCACAGAACTGCATTGTTCATCAGATTTTGAAAAACAAAACTTGTGTCTTAAATCGAATGATATTGTTTTATATTTTGTCCTGTGTGTTTAAGGAAAAGGCTGGTGTTCTAAAATGTTTTTATTGTCAACAAATGCCGTGAAAAGATCCAAACCAACCATATGTTAGTTCATCTAATCCAGGCTACAATACTGTCTGATGTCCCTATCCCTGTGGCCCATTTGCTTTTCACTAGACAAGTGGGATGGATACAAAACAAACTACAGTGTTCATTGGAATGAAGGAATATGTCAATGTGGGTCTATCTGGCTCAGAGGATTAAGACATATTGACGACTCAATCAACACTTGTAGCATCATTTCCTTGTTGGTTTTGGTCTCTGGGGTTTGTGGACAGTGATGAAGGAAAAAGCAGAACAGAAAAACAAGCAAAACAGGTGCTGGACTAAGCTGGAGATATCATGGCAAAAAGTGAAAGTTAAGCCAAAGCCTCGATGCCACTGTTTAAAAGTACAGTTAATATGGTGTATGTATCTCTAAGTTTGTGTAAAATACAGATTATTCTTGATTGTATTTGCTCAAAACAACTAAAAGGCAAAGACAATCAATTACATGTCCATAAAAGTCCAAATCTGCCCTTCTCATAGGGACAGTAATTTGTTTAGCTTTGGCTGGCATGTAGCTTCCAAGGATTTGAAGCCCACAATTTATTGCGTGCCATCAATTCTTACCATTGTGGATTGGTTTGCATGAGTGAAAATAGCCCAATGTGGATTAAGTTACAGGCCACTGTGACTGTTTGAGATTAGGCGTGATGAGGGATGTATATTTTGTGGGGTGACTCTTATTTGGGAATAATGGGCACATGGCAGACTAATCAGAAACACTCCAAGGGAGGGATGAACCACTCCGAAGGCTGCGCTGAAGGATAGGCGGCTGATTTCTATACAGCAGATCCTACAAAGTAGGATTAGAGCGTAAAAGTGGTTACCTTCGAGGAGCCACAAATGAAGAAGGTTCATATAGAGGACTCCACACATTTTCCACCCGTACCGCAGTCTCCTTCAATTCAGCAAGGAAATGCTGGGGGATTTTCTCTCTTCTCTGTGGTTTAGGCCTCACAGCATCTTGTTAAATTGTGACTCCAGCTTTAATTGATGAGAGAGTAATTTAGGTTAGAGGGATTTCAAATAGTCATAGTAGCTCAACACAAATTGGGGAACTTTTTGGGGATATGGAATTAAAAACTTTTACAATAGGATTTTATAACATTGTTTTTCTGGACATGTTACAGTGCATTCTTCTGTTGCCATTTTAGCCTTTAAAATACAAACTCCAGTCTGCTTGTTGGGCCTTGATTGGAAAACTTGGACTTGGTTGGTGAGGTACTAACTGTAGCCAAAGACACTGAGACACTGTTGCCAAATGGATGGAAATATTTCACACTGAGAAAAACATCGGCATTCTTAAAATATAAATACAACTCGCTGCACCATTCTCACTCCTGTATCTGGGAAATGTGCGCACAGTGGTATGGACTAAACATGCTTACATCAAATACTGAGTTTAGTTGTTAAACCTACAGTATGTTCCATGGTACACTACCCACTTTGCCTTCCACCTGCATCTTCAAACAAAATGTTAACACACTATGTATATTCAATCACTCTGAGTAAAAGAGGCTCGCACCTGGCTTTCACGCATGGTTTCTTTTCATTTGCCAAATACCCCATTCATTATTCTACGAAAATGAATTACAGCCCTTAAGTTTACCCTATAAAAAAATCACAAATTCGTTCTTCATTTTCTCCACAGTGTTATTAATCCCCAGCCACCCAATTTTAATTATGTGAATGCACTGTAATTGTTTACATGCAGG